CTTGTTTCTTTGATTGTTGTTGCCTGTGGTGTGTTCCTTGCCTTCGTTGGGGCTTCTGTCGCGCGCACAGCCGGGAGCTCCCCCTCGCGCGCTGATCTCTTCCTCAATTCCGCGGCTCTCTCCTTTGTCTATAGCGCCCGCGGCCCAACGGCATCCAACGGCATCCGCTCCAGATTAGTGAAGTGGTGCCAGGCGGCCCATTCATTAGCTTTCGGTTTCGCATTTCCTCTTTCTGCGCTGGCGCTCGAGCGGTGAAATTGACTAAAGCGTGGCTGGGCAAGTTCCTAGGCGTGCGGTGCAGGCTGAACCTGACATAGCCAAGGAAAGTTTATTGCTGAGCTGCTGGTTTAGGTTCTAGTGAATTCTCTCAGAAGAAGAGCTACCTACAAGTCTAACCTGTTGCAGGAATATGGGACATTGGGGTGGCAACAGTTCTTGGATCGCGGGCTGTGTTAAGCTGTCTGGGGAACGTTGAAGGCCCCATCCCTAAAGCGGGCAGTGCCAGAGTGTAGAATCTGCAAGGTGTTCCCAATTCTAGTCCAGCTGTTACTACATAAAGGTCACATTGTGTGATCATTAGTGAATGCATCAGTCATTTCTCATTATGTGTAAGGATTATACCTTACACCCACTCCTCGTTTAGTCACTACCTTGGTTAGCAACCATTTGCATATACGACGGTGATAAAAATTCATTTTCCGACCAATGCACGCATTTATGACCAAATTTCATGTGCACGCCTGTATGAGATATCATATGAGATATGAGATATGTATGAGAGAACTTTAGCTGAATGAGACGGCAGGAACCAGTGATCTTTGCAGCAGCTTCTCTCTTAGTCATGTGTTCACTTAGCAACCATTTAACTGAACCGCCTGGTGGTTGGAGCAGGACCCGGTTGCTAAACAAGGAGTGGTGTAGTTCTGTTAATAAACAGAGCAGAAGAATAGATCTGGGGCAGTTGTACTGCTAATGAAACATGGGAGTCCTTCCACATGGATGTCAGCTTGATAGCAGGTTGACACCTGTCTCCCAACATCAGTGGCCTGTTGGCTCCTCCAGCAAATATTCAACTTACATAATTAATCATTTCACTTTTAGTGTTTTTGCTAGGGTTTGAAAGGAATTTTCCCCACATTAGAAAAAGGGAGTAGCATATGCAAACCCAGGTGAGGTGTGTCTTGGGGTCACTCGCCAAGCGGCTGCTGAATCCACCCCCCGCTGGGCACCCGGGGCTTCTGGGGTTGAGATGTGTGGCGGTGGCCGTGGGCTCGCCTTCATGCTGCCTTTTCTCTTTCCTCATCAGTAAGCCTGGTGCGGCTGTGGCTCCTGCTTTGGGTAGCCGATAGCAAATCCAGGTAAGCCCGAGGTCCCTCTGCAGCATGGCTCTTCCTGGGGTTCTCAGCATGGCTGACAGTCCCTGCCTCGTGTTTGTCTGCACCCCGTAATGCCACTCCCCGTCCCATAAACCCCTGTAAGCTTAAGGGCAGAGCAGACGGTGTTGTCTCGGGAGAGCCTTTCTGCAGATGCCGCGTCCCAGGCTTGTCTTGGACCTGGCTCCAGATCACACCGTCCGGCTGGCCATGATTTGGGGCCAGTTCCTGCCATTGCCAGGTTTCCTCGGGCTTCTGTCATCTCTTTGGACGCGGTGTCAGGTTTGACTGCTTGGCTTCGAGAGAGAGGCTGGCGGCTGCTGCTTGCTCCCCATCTAGCTCTCGGAATTCGGCTGTCAGCCCTGGGCAGGCACCATCGCTGTGGTCGCCCGCCTCTTGCGTTCCTTGGCTGACCTTCAGGAAGGAGGGAGAATGCCCAGGGAGACTGGAAGAGTGGTCCAAGGAGAGCTGAGCATGGCTGGGGTTGGCGGATGGGAGGGCAGGGACCAGGAATGGCAGCTGTCCAACGGGGAAGGAACAAAATAGACTCTATTTTAGGGGACCAACCCTGGAAGGAGGTTAATTTAAAAAATGTACGGTAATTATAAACAGTGCGATAAAATTCAACACATACGTATAAGAGTTAAAAAGGGAAATGAGCAGTTTACAAAAACACATATTAATAATTCCCTAATATTCCTCCCACACATCTCACATGAAATAATTTTGGTTCCCCGGTTAGCGTAAGATATATAATCAGCCCATGTATTTGAGAAGGCTTTAACTTTAATTTGGCCAGCACGTGGGTGAAGAGTGTAGGTCAATTTCTCAGCCGTAGCGATGTGCCAAACATTCTGGTGTCAAAAGCTCCAACTTCATAGTTTTTACCTTTCCAGTGTTTACCTAGGGACATTCTAGCAGCAGTTAACAAAAATACCACTAATTCTTTAGAGTAAATATTTGAATTAGACCTATATAAATAATAAATATAATGAATAAAATATATTCAGCAAAGCAAGTTGTGAACACACATTAATTTTGATTTATAACTTTACCAATCTCCAAAAGCACTTCAGACCAGAAGGAAAAGACACGGGAACACAACCACTGTGGGAAATAAGTGGAAATAAGTTCACTTTTCCTCACAACTGTTCCAACAAAGGGAAGAGCTTTTTATGTTCTTGCATGCTAGTTTATATAGAATCATACACCATCTATGCCAGGGTTTCTCAGCCTCGGCAACTTTAAGGTGTGTGGACTTCAACTCCCAGAATTCCCCTGTCAGCCTCTCCTGGGAGTTGAAGTCCACATATCTTAAAGTCGCTGAGGTTGAGAAACACTGCTCTAGAATGTGTCCATGATTCTAGAATTAAACTCCCACTTAAGATAGAGTTTAAGAAGTCGCTGATGTTGGAATTAAGGTATCTCCCAGTTTCTTATAAAACAAAGCTATAAAGCTGTCTGGGCCAGGTGATTTATGACTCCTCAAATTTGAGATTACGTCATTTATCCCTTTTATGAAGGGGGAGTTTAACTCTTCCCTATGACTGTCTTCAAGTGGTAAGATATTACAGCTACTTAAATAATTACTAATTTCCTTATTATTCATAGGGTCTGTGGTATATAAAGTTGAATAAAAATAAACAAAAGAATTAAAGATTTCTTGCCTACTAGCTAGTCTACTGCCACCAGCATCTCTAATCGAACATATGGCTCAGATACTGGGGCATGAGCAGATAGGCTAATAGACCCAATATTGGCTGAAACTATTGAAACATTCAAAGAATCAGAAATTAATATATAATTTATAATACAGATTCTAGAATATGTCTTGAATCTTGGGCAGTAATATGTATAATCTCTAGCTTTTGGATTATTTTCCTCCAGACATCAATTAGAGAAAATTGAGTAAAAAGCTTAATTAACTATTTATGTTTTTGTCTGCAGGGTATATTTTTTGCCATATTTTTATCTAATTTGACCTCTGCAACATAATTAAAGTTTCTGCCTATAACAATATAAAAGTTTGACAATTTAGAGAACGTAAAATCTAGAAATTTATGTGAGTTTTGATAAGGGCAATGAATGGAAGCCAAAGTATATAGGCCTTGTTATTATAAATACTTTTCATGAATGTGAATCGACCCTTGGGGTCTTTCTTGACTTTAACATTTTGCAGGTTGAAAGTGTTAGTTAAAATTAAAGCGACTCCCCTAACTTCTCTCGTTATGAATTGCAGGATGGAAAAAAAATATCCTTTTAATTTATATCCCAGCCATGTGTTCCTTGTAAAAAAAGTAATGGCGGGGTTTTCTCTAAATATTGCTTTAAGTACTCTCTTATATTTCATTTCAAATATATTTCATTATATTTCATTCACCCTAACCCTAACCCCATACGCCTAATATTACATGAGTAGGCCTTAAACTTTGCCTCACTTTGCATTTGTAGTCAATCCTTTGATTCTGTTCCCTTAAATGAAGTGCACCCAGCTAACTGGTCTGCTATAGAACCTTCCACCCTGGAGTCTCTACCCAGTGAAATTGTCTTATCAAACTGGGGCAAACAAATGTTATCAGTTGTAGTTGGTAATCTAAATATAGTATCCCCTAGTTCTAGAGAAGACGTTTGTGTCAGAGCGTGGTGGCTTATCACGTCTACCATTGCTAGCATTGGAGGTACCTCTTGTGTGCTATGATGTAAATCAGAGTCTTTAAAATAAACTCTTAGATAAGAAGGTTCCAACTGATATAGTTGGTTAATTTTCCCCAGAGGGTCTTCAATAAAATCAGTTGAAAACCTATGATATGAGGGTGATTTAGTTAAGAGGTCATACCTAATCATCACATCACAAACGCTTTGTTCAAACTGGAGAACAGGCTTTTGTGGTGAATGTTCATATATGTTGAGGGTCTCAGTCCTTTGTAAGGAATTTTGAGATGAGCTTAAACCTCTCTTAATTGTCTGGGGTAGGTCCTCAACATGAAGTGTAAAAAGGACATTCATCCACTAGGGAGAATTAAGAGGAGTTATTTGGGGTACCATGACTTGGTTCCCAATTTCCCTAAGGGCCTTCCCCTTCTGTAGAGCAGGGTCCAAATGAGAGGTATGGGTCTCAGAGGGTTTTCTCACACCACTGACTGGCCTTGTTGAGATAGAGAGTGCTTGGAGCTGTCTTCCTATAATTAACTTTCCACAAAGTTAATTAGGGGGAAAGAATCTTGTAGCGACGCTACACCTACTTGCATGCTGTGTTCAGAAAGATAAACTGGGGCCAGGTCACCTTCTGTACCCATATCTTTTCTTTGAGATCTTGAATTCTCTTTAACTGGCATAGGGGTGAGTAAAGCAGGCAGTTGTCTTTCCTTTTCTGACTTTGGCTTTAAAACGCCATTCTGGATTGACTCGGTTATTTTGTGAATCTGTTAGAGCTGCCAAAGGTTTTGCTGTCTCCCAAATCTGCAACATTGCATGTCTGAGATTTTATATCCTGTCTGCTCGCCTTTTGGCATCTCGCTGAACAAGGTAATCAATTCTTGCTCGAATGGACTGAGCGCAGATTCTTCAGCCCATAGCAAAAGGAGAGGAGTGATTGGCATTCGCCATCCATCCCCGCTAGACGTTTTGTATAAATCCAGGAGTAAATGCCTATCTCTGTCCAAGAGTGCTCTCACATTGCTGTCAATAAAGACTCGCACGGGGGTAATTCCAAAGGATCCCAGATAGGTTCTCATCCTTAACAGCACTGTTGGAATAGCCAGGTGGTTAATCCTTTTTCTGCCATTATAGCTAGGAAGCCAGGTGGTCCTATTAATACCAGTGGCTTGCAGTTGGCAATGAAGAAGTTGGCTTAAAGAAAGTTTACTAGATTCTTTAGAATACTGTCTCCTGGCATTGATGTCGTTACTCGCCATGTATAGAATGGTTTCCTTGTGTTGATAGGGAGGAGCACAGTCTCTATTATTACCAATACTTTTTGCCATTAAGGAGTTTTGGTTAAAGTCAAATCATCTTATTATATTCTTAGCAATAGTTTCTGTAAGCCCATCAAAGGATCTTTTTAACTCTTCTATTTTTGTTGAAATTGCAGTTATTTGTGTATTTTACAGTTTGGGCAGTTGAAAGTCAGCTTTTCGACACTGTGTAATACAAGCTATAATATTAGGAGAAATATCATCTAAGTCATTTGAGTCTGAGACATTTATATTATTTTTAATATAAACAGATGACTTACCACTAGTTGCATTATCTCAAAGGTTTTTCTTCTGAACTTGCTTTTCTTATGTATATGGTGATTGTTCATCTCTCATTATTACTTCAGCTGTAGAATGAATAATTTTCACCTTTTCGACTGCCTTAACTGGTCTCAGGGTCCTGCATTTTCTTTTTTCCCATGCTGAAGCAGAGTAAATTGTTTTAAGACTAAATTTTCTTTCTTGGCTAAGCAAGGGAGAGATTCAGCTAAACAGAGACCCCTTTATTACCTCTCCTCTCCTCTCCTCTCCTCTCCTCTCCTCTCCTCTCCT